TAGCTGATTGACAGACAAAGATGTGTTGGTACGTTTATGCATTATAAAAACTTATTGTCACATGTTCGGATTAAACAAAAATAGGTGATAATAAAATAATGAGCGAACTTAAATAAAAACAAACCCAATCATTTTAGAAACAAAGTTTGATAAGATAAAAGTTAGACGGAACCTGACAGATAATTTATAATTCAATCTAATAAATTTTAAAGAAATTAATTTTGTATAATTAAAGAAATAACAAATTTGCATAAATATTCTTTTTGAATTCTTTAAATTAAGCATTTTAACAGCTGCAATGTGAAAAAAATATCTCTAGCTTTTTTTAAGAAGAAAATTCTAAATGCCGCAAATAAAAAATTTCCAACTGCAAAATGCAATATGTTTCGTTTCTGCAAAATGTTTTCACCATCAATATTATATGTTTGAATATAAAAGCGGCTTTTTCCTTGATGTAGAGCAGATTTTGTTGGTTTTATTATGCATGAAACAATTAACAGCTCTCAATATATATCCAAAAATATCCATCGAGGAAAAGCGCAAATAAAAGAATGAATTATATATTTTTGTTTTCCTAAAAGCCAAATTATTTCATTAAGTATTATCATCAGCTAATTAAATTATTTTTCATTTTCGCTTGTGCCAAGGGTATTAATTTATATATAATTAAAAGCAAAATTTACATTTTGCTAATTCAGAACCAAATTTTAACTTTATTTAGAGCCTTCTTTGAACTGTTTTAATTATAATAGTTAAGCTCCACATCCAGCCTGTATTTATACTCAAAGTCAAATAGAGTTTGAAGCGTAGAGACAATAATTGCTGTGTTGAAATAGGCGTTGGTGGCAAGGTCGACGGCTGCTCGTCACCAAATGAGAGAAAACCGAGTGTGTGTCTCTCTCCTGTGCGCGATATTAAATTCGGTGTTCGTCGTGCAAACTATTTGCGCTCTTCTGGCTGGTGATCACGTCGAGCTAATTTACCTTTGGGGCGCGCAAACAAACAGCGAGAAAATCAAACTGCCCGTTTTCCCGTGTTCTGCTCGCAGTTCCTCTCCTTTTCTTCTTCTCGCGCTTGACAAAGAATCGCGCCCTCGGCGAATTTCATATCGCGTCCTGTCCGCTTGGCTGCACTCGTAGCATTATTGTTATTAAATGCAGAACGAATCGCGCTCTTTTCTCTCTCCTGAAATATGTAAATACGAAGATTCACGCGGGTGCAGCAACACTTCTTGCGTGTATCGATTGATGAAATTTGCGTCTCTTCCCTTTTGCTGCGCCGATCCTAGTTTCGTATTCTCTTCGCGCTTTCCTGTGCAAAGGCGAAATACCAAGGACACCGTCGCGAATAAAAAAAAGTGTGTGTGATCGGATTTCCCGGGGAAATCGGGGCTCTGCAAAATGTGTGACACAAATAATCGAGCTTCCAAATTTCTTGCTGCGCAATTTTTCTCCCTTAATATCTCTGGAAGTCAATTGTGATGCAGTGTTAAGCAAAACTAATTTGGTGATTGAATTTATTGTTTTACAATGTTTAAATAAAATGGTGATACGATTCACAATTGTTAATAACACATGATTATTACATATAATAATGTATACATTGTGGCAGTGAATACTCAATATAAAATAATTATTTCATTATTTGTGATAAATTGTTTGAAAAAATTCTGATTGAAATTGCATTAAATTGATTTAATATATATATTTGTTAAAATTATTAAAATACAAAATAAATATTCAAAACAAAAATTAATTATAAATGTTTAACAAATAATAATGAAATAATCTTGGCGTTAATAATTACTTTTATATTAGGGAGTAAATAAATACATTAATATATAATATGCTTACTTTTGTAAAATAAAAACATGAACCAAAGAGACAACTTGCCCTAAATGGCAATTTAATTAAGGTTAGACACAAGGGATCATAAGTTTTTTAAATAGTTTTCCTCTATATTTCTTTATTTTCCAACAATGTTAGGCCCGGTTTCAAATTTTCAATTCAATCCGCCATGGGTGTTAATTGTCACATTAAACATTATATTATGTTAATAATTATTTTTCTTCCAAAGAATTTATAATAATGAATAGAAATAACAGAGAATTAGACAAACTGTATATTAAATAATTTTATTTTGTCTTCATTCTCACATTCCCCCTCCATCCTATATCTACAATCTTCACTTTTTCCTCACTTTTTCTTTACAACATTCACACCGCGTATAGTGTAATATTTCTCGAAAACCAGCCTAGGGGCATTGAGGGTGTGAAAAATAGTGGTGCACTTGTCTATGAAGAACAAACACTGAAAGTGGAAGGCTTGACGAGGCCCTATTCATTTCACCACAGTTTGCAGCGTGCATCTCCATTTAAATGCAAAGCACGTGCGCAAACTCGCCGAGCGCGGGGAAAACCTTTTTCGCACTTTCTGCGGAAACGCTTCCGAGCCAAAGGGCTTTTAGCCTGTGTGAATATTTGAGGGTGGAATTTGAACGTGTGCGAGTGACGCTCTGCTCACTGACCGGTCGCTCGTCCCAGATTACAAAATAATGCGCTCCGTGAGCAGTGGTTTGAAAATATTTGCCCCACAAAATCCTCGCTGGCCACTTCAACCGCCTTTTTTTCTTTTGCTTCGGCACGTGTTGAGCCGGCCAAGATTGTTTCATCCCGGGAACGGAGGAAAGAGACGCAGTCATGTATGCATTATTGATTTCAATTCCACTCTCCTGTGCAATAAAGATCTTTCTAAGCGGAGTTGGATGGAAAAGTAGTGCTCGTAACTTAGTTAGACTCATATATATAAAAAGAAAAGTGGAAGAACGAGACACATTTTTGATTCGCACACTGGATGAAATTCTCGTTTTCTTCTCCATTTCTGCTGCTGAGGAAAAGGAGAGAGAGAAATAAAAAGGGTGTGAGATATTGAAGCGTGATTAGATGGAAGAAGAGAAGAAGCTCCCGCTCATTCCGCACAGCTCTCTCGCCATTCTTTTCCGCCGCCTCTCTCGCTTCAGCACCAAAATTGATGCCAAATAGTTGTAACTCATGCCTCTGCCGAATTCTTTCTCTCCTCCGCTTTTTCCTCACCGCAAAAGCGGGCTGGAAATTGCACGAAACCATTCTTTTGTCGCCCGTTAACGCTTTCAAATCCTCATCGCCGGCTGAAACGATTTTTTTTTTTACTGACTGCTAATAACCACAACAAACCATCGATTCTATTGAAATAAAAAGAAATAAAAATCTTTTAAAGAATAAGATTGATTGATAAAAAGCGACAAAATGACTGCAGTTTACATCATAACTTATTATATGTGTAACAAGGTTTTTATTTATTTATTAATTTTTTTTAACTGAAATTCAAATTTATAAATTGAGCCAATATGGTTAAAATATATATTATAACTGAGCCACTTTTCACGTTTGAACCCTTGAGTTCAAGAAAAACAACCTTTCAAATCACAATAAATCAATACTTTTCTTTGTGCTGCACACGAAACAATCGTGAAATATTTCTCGTTCTTTATTTCTGCCTTGTCGGCCTGAAACAAATAACGTCCTCACGTGTCAAAGTCGAAATCCCTGTCGGGCGAGATTATTATTTATTTGCCAGCCGAGAGTGAAAGGAGTCTTTGTGTGTTTGTTTCGCTTGTCACGTGATTCCGTGCGAAAAGCAGAGAGAGGCCGATCGTTCGCTGCTTTCCTTTCTTGTCGACTCGCACGCCTCACTGCAGTCTTAATTGGCAGGTATTACAAAAGTTGACGACGCCAAAAGAAAATCCTCACCGCCGGCGGTCGGTCTTTTTCCTTCGATTTTGACACACCTGAAACAAGGTTTGGTTATTATTGGGGCTGAAACAAAGCGGCGCGCACCATTCATCAATCTCTCTCGCCGTGTTTCGCTTGTTTCCATTAAGTTCGGATTAGTTAAGGAAAATTCGGCCGGACGGATATCAACCGAAAATCATATACACCCCTTCGTCCCCGGAGAGCGCGAACGCAATTTATCTCAATTTTCATCATCAAAGGGTGTGCACTCGATGCCTTTGGAAAGTGCAACGCCCAAGCTCGCTCTGCTCTCATTACTTAATAAGTGTTTGTGATATACTTACCCGGCTGTAATTAGAATTAATACACCTGATAACACTTCTCAATTGAATGCACTTGCAGCCCCTCCGCCGCTGCAGCATGATGACGTTTAATTTATGGTTATTCTTTCGGAAAGATCGCAGCCTCGTGCAGTGCAGAGAGCATGTTGTTAATTATGAAAGAGCTGCAGCGGAGTTATTGAGAGGAAAGAGGGAAATTTTAAATAAAGAAGAGCTCTTTAGCTTGAAATGCTAAAAGCACCTGCACATGACGTGCAACGCTAAAGTTTCTCTCTCAATATTAATTTACAAATACGCTGCTAGAGTAGATGCAATAATGATATACAAATCAATACAAACATCCACTTTTGTAAACAAATGTGCGTGGGCATCTTTTCCTTGATGGATTAATATCGAAAATCAACATAATATTTATCCCCGGCAAACAAGGGTCAAACTGTTGTTAAACTCCTTTAAATATTTATAACTTATGAACTTAGTACTTTTTGTCTCACAAAAGCTACTATAATATCTTTTTCTTTCCTTATTAGGAATATATATGTAATTTGAAACTTAAATTAAGTAACTGTTCACTAACGAGTTAATGTTTTCTGAAAACTGATCTTTGCAACCCTCCATTAGTTGCAAATTTATTGATCTATTACAAAGGCAATTAATTGATCCATTATCAAAAAGCTTTCATTTTGAAAGATTTACGTGACATCTTTTGTAAATCTTTTTTTATAATTAATCATTAAGAGGCTTAAAAATGAAAAAAAGAGCTCCAAAATAAAAAATAAAAAGAAATGGGAAAAATTACACAATGAGTGACTTAAAATAATTTGATAATATTTGGTTTTGTGTGATTTGATCTAAGTAATCTAATCTTGTATTTTGTCTATTTGTTCCAGACTACCTGCAGTGGCGCCGCATGTTTCTCTTGTGAACACTGAAGTGTGTGTGTGCTTGTTGACCGGCCACCGAGCTAGTTCTACGGACAAAATGCATCGAGGACTGTGTCTGATGGTGTTGGCGGTGGGTGTGGTGAGCAGCCTCGACCTCCGTAAGTACCAAACACACACACAACACCGCCAGATCCGCGCTATAAATCTCTAATTGGTCGCACGCAAGTGGCGTTTGCTTGGCAAAGCTCGCTTGCAAACACACCTTTTATCTTGATTTCCCACAAGAAATTTATCCCGGCGCCCTTAGGAATAATCACCCCTCTCACAGGAAGTAAATTATTAACCCTTTACCGACGCGATCTCTCTAATTTATTTTCGCAACATCTGACGCTGACTGCTTCGGAAATAATCAATTTTGTATCAGCCAACTCGGACAAGCTAGCAAAACTCCCGGCGGATGGAACGCTAGCCTTGACCTGATCAAAGCGTGAGTAATCGTGCGCGTCCGGCGGCGATACAAATAATGATGCAGGGGCGTCCGAGAGGCGTCCCCGAGGAACCGATGCAGCGAGCAGGTTTGATGCGGCCGCTAATTAATGTTGTGCTGTGTCGGCCGTCATTAGAGCCAGATCAGAAAGCTCGTCACGTCTGCGGCCGACGGTGTCGCACTTGAGCCGACAATTGGCCCCGACCCCATTCCCAGGCGCCAAAAATGGCCCAAACGACCCTCTTTTTGCCATCAGTCTAATGAAAAGCGTCAAGAATGAGAATAAAAGTTCTAAAATAATGCGCATTGTTTATAGCTCCGAGCATTAAAACCCCGCAGAATCTGCAGAAGCTTCTAGAAAACCAAAAGCTCAGGAAAATCTAAGAAAGACTAAATTTAAAAATAATTAAATGCTTCAATTTTGGAATTATATTATTCTTCATATTTTTTACAAATTATTTTTTATTGAAGATAAAATGTATTAAATTGAAAAATAAAAATAGATGCGTTCTCTCAATTATAAGCAAAATTAACATTTTGATCGATTATATTTTCTGACCTTCCTCTTTAACGAGTTTGGCTAATGTTCGACTCATTGAACTTTCGCGTCCTTTCCGTTTTCTCCGGTTGGATGAATTTTAATTGAAATCGATTGCGTGCAGAGTTCGTTTCCTCACGCTGGCCACCCTCCGCAGCTTTTGGCTCCAGGCCTGGGGATCGATTTCTTGGCATCAGGACTTAATACCAAGGTGTCTGTTATTTGTCCAAACTTCTCCGCCTAATCTCCGAGTGTCATGTTAATTCTCAGCTGGCCGTCCCTCCTTGTAAAAACGCACGAGCGGAAACTGAGCCGACCAAGCCGACTTTTTTCCCCAGGAGAGGTTAGGTGTCAAAATATCCGCGTGGGTCGAGCCGCAAACGGATTAGGATTGTAAATGCCCGCTGCCCACGATTAGAATTTATACCTCGGTGAGATCCTTCAAGCGCCTTCAAGCTGCGGCCCATGAGCCGCTTGAGTGATGACATAGCCACGGAGGAGATTTGGCTCGAAACAGTTTGGGCAGATTCTTTTGCAGTTGGAAAAATTTCTGGTAAAAATAAATACAAGTACGGGTGATAATTTTTTTATTATTTTTTGTACTAGACAAAAAAAATATATAGTATTAATGAGGCTTCTGAAATAAAGTAATTTTTCTTGCTAAATATGTGCTTATTTAGGTGATTTTTCAGCTGAAATACGTGACAAATAGATGAAAAATAGGTGAAAAAAGCTAAGCGAAATTTATTTATTTTTATTTATTGCAATTATTTTTTTTGCACTTTTCCAGGTGAAAAATGGTAATTTTTTCTGAAAAAAAGGTGCAATCAAATAGTTCAAAATGGGTTGTTTTTCTGAAATTGACGGAAACTTGTTAAAAATATATAAGTATAAATTAGCTTATTTTTCATCACAAATAGGTATAATACCTATCTATTAATTAAATCGTCTTAGTTAGTCCAGAGTTTAATGCAAGTGCAACAAATAGTTTACCAATCCTAATATTTTATAAATATAATTCACAGGAGATAAAATAATAAATATATTGGTAACTTTTCTAAGCATTTCTGCAAGATTTGTAATTTATGCTTGTTAAAGTGTTTTTCCTGAAAGGGATGAAATTTAACACGCCGGAATTTTTTTTCCAATTCAAAATGCTCCTATTCCTTTTTGTTTTATGCAACCAGCACATCAGTACCGGCATCCACGTAGCCAAACATTTTTTTAGTTTTAATCCTGGCAGCGCCGAGCACGCTAGATCAAGTGGATTCTATTTTTCAAGGATGTAACTTGCTAAGTGCGTATGACTGGCAATTTTTTCAACGCTTCGTGGTGCAATTTTTCAAGAGCACACATGCTGGTACTCGGGAGAAATATAGAGAATTGCGAAAAAAAAGGGCGGTTTCAGCATGCGGGACGTGAAAACTTTCACCCTCCGTCATAACTTGACGACCCGAAACCTGACACTTTGCGCGCGTCCCGAGAAAATTATCTTTCGGAAAAATTTTCAATCAAAAACGTAATTATCTGGCGGGATCTGGGGCGCCCCCCTGCGGTTGCGCCGAGAAGGGTTAACTTTGAGCCACCTCTTTGCCGACGCATCTGCCACTTTTAATTATCCGGGCCCTCTTGACGGACAGGGGATTACTCGGGTGTGATTGTGGCCTCCCTCGGTGGCGCCGGCGTCCCGGACATATAAGAAGGAGAAGTTTTCCATCAGCACAGACATAAATCAAGCGGCCGTAAATCCTGAGAAATACATCGCCATTTGTCTCAATACCGCGAATGGAAAAATGCGGATGCAAATTGAAATGAAGCCATTTCCTGCACGTGTGTGTGTGAGTTTGCGTTCTCGCGACGATTTATTATTTAGAGGGCGCAATTTGTTTTCCTGTCGCGAATTGACCTCTTATCCCTTTTCTCGCCGCCTTGGCAGGCAATTTCGGTAATGCAAACTCGCCCGGCGATGCCGCCCGAATTCCCTCACGTGAAATTGATTTTCGGAGAACTCGGCAAGCTCGCCAGCATTGAATTTCGGAGCTCGCGAACGCATTAATGAGCTCACAATTGGGCCACTTTGATTGAATTTCTCTGGTACTCGAGCTGAGTGGCTGAATTAATTATTATCGCTGTAGAATTTCTGCTCACTATTAAAATGAAACCAAACGTTTGACGGTCTTTTAAGAATTACTTTTTCCACAAATAGAGTTTAAAATATAAAAACAGGATTTATAGGTTTTTAAATTATGATAAAGTGCTCATTAAACTCAGCCGGTGCCCTGCTTTAAAAACCGGCATTGATTTTAATCTGGGCTAGAATGAGCCTGTTGGCTTTTTACGAGCCGGAGCGACAAATGTTAAGTATGTTTTGTTGTTGAGAGGCCATAAAGAAAAAGTCATGCTAGGTTCTCTGTCCGGCGGCATGCAGATGATCAGAGCGATTTATTGCGCCCTCGCTGCCGCCCTCGTGTATTAAAGGAACATCGATTACGTGGGCAATTAGGCAGTGCATGTCGGCAAAATTCTGATTTTATCGGACTCGTCCATTTTCACACGAACTCTTTCGGCCTGATTTCCATACAACTTTGAACGACTTCTGATACACTGGACATGCATTTTAAATTTACACACTACATGCACAGAGTGCAAAGTGGAGCATGAATTTTCCTCTCTAGATTGTGTTCCCTCTTGCAACTGCACCGGCGATGAGTTTTATAATATTTTTAATTTTATTTGCACTCGCGCACAAAAAAGAGCTTATTTGCTAACGAACATATATTTTTCCCTGGAGCGTCAAATGGAATGTTGCTGCCGCGTTATATTTTACTTTTCCAACCGGATTTTTATGCCAGGCGAAATTAGAGAGAATTTTTGAGCTGCGCACTCAATGTTAACGAAGTTCTTCATTTGGACGGGATTGGTATATAATGCGATTTTCGCTAATGGGGGATTGTTATTTCCACGCCCCTGAAACGAATTTAGCAAAGAAAAATTCATTATTATAATGTGGAAGCACCAAATTTTAAGCTTTTTTGAGAAGCGAAAAACTCTTGAGCCCAACACAAACATGTAATAATTAAAAAAAAAACGAAAAAAAACAGTTCTCTCTACTTTGTGTAGAGAAATTTTTAAGATTTTTTAACAAATTTTTTTAAATTTTTCTAATTTTTTAGGAAAAGTTAATTAGTTTCCCTTAATTAACAGATGTTAATTTCTATTTTATATTTATTATGAGGCAATTACATAATTTAAATCCTATGCTGTAATTAGCTAGATTTAGCAAAATAAAATCTCAAAAAGCAACTTTTTGAACACACAATATTTTTCCAGTTTACGTCAATAACAATAAAAAAAGTTAATAATTTTTCTTCGTAATATTTTTTGTTGGCTATATTTGTATAAAAAATAAAAAAATAATAATAAATTAACAGAAATAAAAATAAAAAGTCTTACTTTCAACCTCCGCTGAGAATGGTACGCTCAAAACACCATTCATTAATTTGACTGATATTGTTATGGTCAATAAAATAAATGACTTTACAAATTTGCAAAATATGTTTTGTTAATTGTGTTAAGTTACAAAGGTTGATATTTTGAAGGTCCAAACTGGCATTGATGAAACACTTTTATAAATTTAATTTGAATGTAATTTTCTTGACAAAAATTTCATATGTGCTGAAAAATAGCTGCAGTGTGTGCATCCAAAACATGAAGAGAAGAATTTTTTTCCCCGATTAAAAAATAAATTAATTCTATCCAGGAACTGTCTTTTTCATTTTTCAATTGAAAAAAAAAATGAAATTAACCTTCGATCATGAAAATATACTTGTAATAAATTCATACACGGGGGGCTTTTTTTTCACCTGGAGATTTGGAGGCTGCAGAAATATTCAAATTGTGGCCGCATAAATTGTGCGTCCTTACTCTCAACAACAAGGACTAAATTGTGGATCGCAGAAGAGGTCTGTGTGTCCGTCCGGCATGAAATATATTTTGCAATTTTATTCGGGGGTCGCGAGCCGTGATAGCGAAAGCAGGGCGAACGCAGGAGTGAGGGCGGCTTTGCACAGCTGTCGTCGGGAATCAGCAGGGCCCGCGTCATAAATCTGGTTGGGCGAGATGAAAAGATCCCA